CCATAAAACAGAATACTATGCTGTCATTAAAAATGCTTGAAATGAATATTTAATGACATGAGCACATGCTCACCTACATTACCTGAAAATAGGCAGTGTGCTAACAGTGAAATATACAGGGACATATAGAAAAAAAGACTAAAACAATACATAACAATTTTAACATGCCTATCTGTGAGCAGTAATTATATATTTCTTTGTTTTTCCAGATTTTCTACATGAACATTGATAGTTTTTTGTAATCAGAAAGTTATTTAAATATGTGTATTAAAGAATTTCCCCTCTCAGAGTAGGATCTTACTTTAAAACTGGCTCAGGGGTGAGCATGGTGCAATCAATCTCCAAGATCTGTTCCTCTTGGATAAAGTGCTGCCTCCAGGTCTGAATAATATTGTTCTTTAAAGCACATCCAACTGGCCCAAAGTCATACAGACCACTAACACCTGTAAAATATCAAAGGAAAACGTGCATTTTACCTTGCTACTCTAAACAAATGAAGGCAAGGAGAGGCAAAAAACTGATACCTCTAAGACTTCACGTACTCCCCCAAAATGCATTAAAGTCAACGATGCAAATCCCTCAATACCAAAGAGCCTTACTTCCAGCTAGCTCACCGAAGTAAATAAGCTATTACTCCACTTACTATTTCCATATTTATAATTTCAAGTAGAATTAGCCCAAAATTTAAAACAAGAGAAGTCCCCCCATATATAATGGAATGAAAAAGCAGAGTATAGTTTTCTGCCATAGAAATTAGAAAATAATTTATCACAGCAGCTGATAATCATGGTTTAAAATTTTAGCACCCAAGTCTCTAATTTATTCTTGGGTATTTGAGCCTCTATTTAAACCTTAAGAAGTTAAACATTTAGAGATCTGCTTAGCCAAATCTGAATCAAGTTTCACTGGCAAAGTACTAAAAGTCTAATGTAATAATCTATTGACTGTGAAAAATATATAATAGTTGTACATTTAATCAATGTATTATGTTTGCCTATATACCTTCATATAGCATTCAGAAAGACGTGATTTATCTACATACGCATGAATAATCATCTAAGGACTCTGTTTTGTCACTGCCCTTGTGTGGAGGGGCACAATACAGTTAGCCAGTACTACAACAGCCCTCTATTACTCCTAAGTTTCCACTGTGTTTTAAAAAGAGTATGTAAGTACATGGACATATCAAATGCCTTATACTTGGGCCCCCAACAATTCCCTACAACCTAATGGAAAAAAGTAGTCTTCAAGAATAAATAAGGGAAAGGAGAGAATGGGCAAACCTACCCCAACAGGTACAGTGAACACTATCTGGGTGAAGGGCACACTTTTAACCCTGACTCAAGCATTACAAAAGTGATCCATGTAACCAAAAACATTTGTACCCCCACAATACTTTGAAATTAAAAAAAAAAAAGAACGAATAAGGTGGAGAGAAAGAGCAACAGGTACTATACCAAATGGCAACTCTAAACAAATAAAAGCAAAATATCTACCATCTGCTTTACGTGACCTGATACAATTAGATACCAATTGGCAAGCCAACTTCTCTATTTAAGAACAGTATTGGAGCCACTAACGACACAATTGTTCTTTCTATCATTATTCCCCTACCTCCATAAATAGCAAAAGCTTGATCATAGAAAAACCTCCTCTTCAGGGTGTCTTCCATTTTTGCTCTGTCCACAATGTCATCTTTGGGCTGTAATGCCAGCTCCTGTGAGGGGTAAAATAAAAAGTGTGTAACTGGAAGAGTGGGTGGGAATTTGAACTCTATACCTGAATTTAATTTATTCCTCAGCAAAATTCAATATCAAATTTATCAAATAGATTTCAGTAAGTTAAAAAAAATAGAAGCCTTAGCTATTTCTTCCCCTGAGTAACAAAAAAGATGATTTTACTTAATTATTTAGGAAAGCATATGATCATTTCCAAGATGATAAGACTAAGTTTACTTAGATGTAGATACTGATAAGCAATATAAGCAATATCTGAATTTAACAGATCGCTATAGCAAAATGGTGATTTTAAAACTGCAAACTATTTAAGTTTAGCAATGGGGGGGGAGGTTATTGTTTGAAAGGTTTGGAAGTAGGTATCAGATGAATACATCTTTTCCCTAAAAGAAAAAAAAATTTAAACAACAAAACCATTACTTCCAGGAGAATTCACAAAGAAGAGCACAATGCCTTCCAGTGAAATTCATGTAGCCCACTGAGTCCAGGATTTGTGGGGGTTGGAGCCAGGGGTTAGGAAGGCTTTATAGAAAAGGTGACATTTTAAGTTACACTTTGAAATGATGAGGAGCCCGCCAGTTTGGAAAGAAGGAAGAAAAGGCATTCTGGATAAACAGATAACTCAAATGATGCTTACTCTGAAACTTTTTTAGGTCCCTTCCACCCAAAATGATTAAATAAAGATGAACAATCCTATACCTACTTATGTTCCTTATGCTAACTTATGTTAGCATCCCAAGACTCACCTTTGCTTCCAGAACTCTCTTCCGAGCTTTGAGTTCGGCTACTGCTTTGTCTACATCTACTTGGGGTGCTTTATCTTCTTTCAATTTTCGCACAAGATCTCCCTGGCCAACAAAGAGAATTTACATTCAGGACTGATTTCAGAAGTCAAGAAATGTTAGGAATGTGTTTGTAAGCATGTCTTTTGAAAAGTATCTGTGTAAGCATGATGCAATTCAAATGTTTATAATGTGACAGGTCATTACGAATCACTGAAGGTCTCTGTCCTCAGCATTTATTACCCAGAAGAACATACAGATGAGTTAATAAATAACTATGCTTTTTTTCAATTGTGGGGGAGCAGGGGTTGAGAAGGAGGCAAGAAAAGCATCAACAGAAAGTAGGAAAGAGCAAGATTTGTACTGGGAACACAGAAGAACCAATAAATTACTCTTAGTTTTCCACCTACTTCCCCAACCATTCTTCACAGTCACTACTGACTCATCTTCCTTTGCTCCCTTCCCGTATTGTTGGAATTTTTTCCTTGCTAATTTTTCTGAAGTATCTTACTCACTTCCAACAACCTACTATTGTACGCTGATTACTCATTGACAGTAATGTAGAGGAATAGGTAATCTGAGAGAACAAACAAAACACTCTCTACATGGTATGAGAAATTAAAGTTGTCAAACTGATAGAGCCCTTATACCCCCAAAAGGAGCAATTATTCTCTGGAGGAGCAGATCTTCTACATAGGCCTTTCAGGATTTTCACAGGTTAAGGTTACCAAATAATAAGTGCTCAACTCAAAATTTAAAAATCCATGAGGAAACAAGCCACCATGAGTAAGACTCAGCAGAAATGAAAACAAAATTAGATCCTCCAAAAGTATTAGAATGATCAAATATTTTTAAATGCTTAACATGTTTAAAACAAATAAAAGGAGGAATCAAAAATATGAGCAAGAATAAGAAACTATCAAAAACAATCAGGTAGCTTGAAAAAGAACAATAAAGATCATATGGAAATGAATCACTAGAATTAAAAACTCTCCCATTCTAGCAGCTGAATAAAAAGAAAAAAAAAAAAGAAAAATACCTCACTGGACAGGTTAAATAGCATATCAGACAACTGAAGAAAGAATTATTGATGTAGGAGATGGACCCGAAGAAATTATCCAGACTAGTATGGAATTAAAAATATAAAATAGATGTAAAGAGACACAGAGAAGAGAATGAGAGTGTAATATTCATCCAGCCAGAATACGGAAGAATAAAAAAAATGGTTAAGAGGCAATATTTGAAAAGATAATGGCTAAAATATTTTCCATTTTCTATAACTGCTCAAAGACATGAATTCTAAGATTCAGAAAGCACATGGAAATCCAAACAGTACACAAAACAAAAATCCACCCCTAGACAAGCTATAGTAAAACACAGTGCTTAAAAAGGGTTAAAGGCCAGTTGTGGTGTCCATAATCCCAGCACTTTGGGAGGCTGGGAGGCCGAAGCAGGAGGACAGCTTGAGGCCAGGAGTTCGAGACCAGCCTGGGCAACACAGCGAGACGCTGTCTCTACAAAAAATTTAAAAATTAGCCAGGTGCAGTGGCATATACCTGTAGTCCCAGCTACTTGGGAGGCTGAGGCTGGAGGATGGCTTGAACACAGGTGTTCACGGTTATAGTGAGCTATAACCATGATCATGCCACTGCACTCTAGCCCTATGACAGAGCAAGACCCTGTCTCTTTAAAAAATATCTCTGAGCTCCCTCAATTATAAAGTCAAAATAATACTTATACCTCATTGGACTGTTATAAAGAATAAATAAAACACTTTAAATAATTTTTAATAGTACTAACACACAATAGACATACACAAAAGGATAGCTGTTATTATGCTACAAAGCACTTCAACTTGGGTGTGGCCACAGAAACTTCAAACTCAACTATTTGCTCTACCCCAAACTTGTTCCTTCTGTGTATGCTTAAAGTTATGCTTCTTTACCTCTAATGTCTGGTCAATTTCGCTTCAAAATTTTCAATCTAATCTCTCCTTTTCAGCCCTTATAGACTAGATTGCTACAACCAATTACCAGTTTCTCTCCCATCCAAAGGTATCTACACTAAGATTAGACCTGGCCCCAAATTACTCTAATTCATGTCATTTTTTTCCCATCTTGTAAGCCTTCTTTTCACAAACACACAGCATTCCTAATTTGGTGACTGTTCCTACCCACATGCCTTCGATGTTTATTCTCTTGCCCAAAAGTGCTTCCTTCCCTTACTGACATTCTACCATATCCTTTATAAAGCATTTCTCAAATATTCCAACCCTACAATTGTTCCTTAAGGACATTTCTCCCCTTGAAGTTGTCTTGAGTAGACAAATGTAATTATTTGAACCTAGAACGTGACTTTGTTTATATATAATCAGAAGTATTTCCCCATAGTTTTAACATACATTGAATTTTCCAGGAATACATGCAATAAAATGCAATTTAAAAGAGGACACCTAGCTCCTCGGGAGGCTGAGGCAGACAGATCTCTCAAGCCTAGGAATTTGAGGCTGCAGTGAGCTATGATCACACCACTGCACCCTAGCCTGGGCAACAGAGTGAGACCCTGTCTCAAAAAAATAAATAAAGACTGGATCTTGCTTTGTTCAGTTTTATAAAGAGTTGTTCCTCAAGGAATTTCTTCATTTTTTTGAGAAAACATGGCACCAATGACAATGCTGCTGTGGTATCTGAGCAACCAACACAATATACCTTTATCAGTGTGCATTTAAAGCAACTGCATTCACGGATAGGTATAAGCAGCTGCTTATGTCATTGTAACTTCCTGGTGGAGTCATACCCAAGAATTTACATAATGAAATACGTATTATTATAAATGTATTATAAATTGCTTTTTTATTTCTTTGTATTACATTTAGAGCTTTATGTATATATTTTTTAATTAAATCTAGGTTGATATTTTGTATGCCTCTCATTAATACTTGATGTATTATAGAAAGGGACACTGGGTCGGATATACCCAAGAGCCATGGAATTAAAGGCATATCTTGGCCAGGCACAGGGGCTCACACCTGTAATCCTAGCACTCTGGGAGGCCAAGGTGGGAGGATCGCTTAAGCTCAGGAGCTCGAGACCAGCTTGAGCAAGGCCGAGATCCCATCTCTACAAAAAATAGAAAAATGAGGCCACGGCCATATCACCCTGAACGCACTGGATCTAGTCTGATCTCGGAAGCTAAGCAAGGTCAGGCCTGATTAGTACTTGGATGGGAGAAAAATTAGCCTGGCGTGGTGGTACACGCCTGTAGACCCAGCTACTCAGGAGGCTGATGAGGCAAGAGAATTGCTTGAGACCAGGAGTTTAAGGCTGCAGTGAGCTATCCTGACAGCACTGCCCTCTAGCCCAGGCGACAGAGCAAGACTCTGTCTCCAAAAAAATAAAATAAAATAAAATAAAATAAAATAAAGGTATATCTCGTTTTATTGCACTTCGCAGATACTGCACTTTTTACAAATTGAAGGTTTGTGGCTACCCTGTGGCAAGCAAGTCTATCGGTGCCATTTTTCCAACAGGATGTGTTCATGTCATGTCTCTGTCACATTTTGGTAATTCTGGCAATTTCAAATTTTTTCATTATTATTATATCTGTGATGGTGATCTGTGATCAGTGATCTTTGATGTCACTACTGTAATCGTTTTGGGGTGCCATGAACCACACCCATGAGACAATCGGCTTAATAAATGTGTGTGTTCCAACCGCTCCACTGACCTGCAGTTCCTGTCACTCTCCCTCTCCTCAGGCCTTCCTATTCCCTGAGACACAACAATATACAAATTAGGCCAATTAATAACCCTACAATGTCCCAAGGTGTTCAAGTGAAAGGAAGAGTTTGCATGTCTCTCACTTTCAATCAAAAGCTAGATATGATTGGGCTTAGTGAGGAAGGCGTGTGGAAAGCCAAGACACGTAGAAAACTAGGCCTCTATGCCAAACAGTTAGCCAAGGGTGATGACAGGAGCTTTTTCTTTGCATTCTTCTAGGCTATGCAAAGAAAAAGAGAAGAAAACTAAAGTGCTACTCCGGTGAACACACAAATGATAAGAAAGCGAAACAGCCTTATTGCCAGTATGGAGAGATTTTTAGTCATCTGGAAAGAAGATCAAACCAGCCACAACATTCCCTTAAGCCAAAGACTAATCCAGAGCAAACTCTCTTCAATTCTTTGAAATCTGAGAAAGGTGAGGAAGCTGTAGAAGAAAAGTCTGAAGCTAGCAGAGGCTGGTTCATGAGGATTAAGGAAAGAAGCTGTCTCCATGACATAAAAGTGCAAGGTGAAGCAGGAAATGTTGATTTGAGATGGAATCTACTCCTGGTGAAGATGCTAGGAACATAGCTGAAATGACAACAAAGGATTTAGAATATTACATAAATGTAATTGGTAATGCAGTGGCCGGGCTTGAGAAGACTGACTTCAATTTTGAAAGAAGTTCTGCTGTGTGTAAAACGCTAACAGCATCACACACCACAGAAAAATCTTTTGTGAAAAGAAGAGTCAATCAACATGGCAAACTACACTGTTGCCTTACAATATTTTAAGAAACTGCCACAGCTGCCCTAGCCTTGAGCAACCACCACCCCGATCAGTCAGCAGCCATCCACATCAAGGCAAGACCCTCCACCAGCAAAAAGATTATGACTCACTGAAGGATCAGACGATCATTAGCATTTTTAAGCAATAAAATATTTTTAAATTAAGGTATGACATTATTTTTTAGATATGTTACTGCACACTTAAGAGATTACAGTATAAACATAGCTTTTACATACACTGGGAAACCAAAAAATTCGTGTGACTTGCTTTATTGTGATATTTGCTTTGTTACAATATTCGCTTATTGAAGTGTTCTGGAACCAAACCCGCAATTATCTCTGAGGTATGTTTATAGTTATTCCCCTCATTCTCTTATCGTATACAAATCTGGTCTGTTATACAAGCAATTTGTATCCTAGTATGTTGACCTCTTTAGCTAAAGCAACAGCCACAATCACCTAACTTATCTTCTTCATTACAAAATCTGAAATCGCCCTATGAATGCATCTGCTTACTT